TCCTAGTTAGCGGAGTGTAGGCGAGGCCCGTATCTCCATGAGTGTGGGCGAGGCCCGTATCTCTTAGCTATTCATTATATGATTGTATGGTATGTGGTATTATAGGGGAACTCACTAAGCTTCATGCTTACAGTTTAGAGTTTTGGTTTTAAGTAACTCTTCAGCGAAGGGGAAGGAGCTGACACGGTAGCGGCACATCATACACACCCCTTGTTTTCCGCATTATGAGATTGTTCTGGGATTTGTACTCTGACACTATGGTTGATTTCATGTATTGGTTTTCAGACACGTAACCTGATTTAAGAAACAATATGATCGAATGTTGTTTATTTTTAAATGTTTTGCAAGGTGTTCAATTAAAAATGAAATTTTTGGACTAAAAAAAAATAAAAAATAAATAAAATTTGGGTTGTTACAAATACGTTATAGTTCTTTAAAATTTCAATATGTATTTAAATTTTTATATGAATTTGATGAACAAAAAACAAACTTTATATTTATAATTAATTAATATAATTTCATATATAACAGAATATTATAAGTATTAAATATTATATTTAAATTATAATTAGTGGGTAAAATGAATTAGAAATGTATAAATATATAAACAGAGGGACTAAAACCGACAATGTAAAGTTCATCCCCATTTTGGGAGAAATGAATAATATAACACCATATATTTGTGTAATACTATTCATATCTCCCAAAATGGGGGATTGTTGGAAAAGAATGGGAGAAGAAATAGGGGAAAAAATCATGAATGAGAGTGGGTTAGAGATGCTCTAAACACCAAAAAGAATTTTTAAAAAATTGGTTTTCCCTCGTATTCAGATACACCTGTGATTTTGCATATGGCTTTTGTGTTTTTTTTATGTTTTTAATTTAAACAATGTTTTTTATGATTTGAATTTGCTGTAGTAATTCACCATAAAATTGGCTATCTTGATCATTTGACTAAATGGTCGTTTGATAGTTGCTAACTGGGTTAGAGCTGACTGGGTTAGAAGTTTTGACTGAGTTAACTTCTGACTGAAACTTATTGTTTGATTTTGCATCTGACTGACTATGCAAAATGACTATTTTACCCTAAAATATCATTTTTATAATAATTTCTTTATGATTTACCATTTAATTTATAACATTTATATATAATAATTCCTTTATCATAAAAAAATAGTAACATCATTAAAAGTCAAATCATCACTGATGAATACTATACTGTTTACAATAAACATGACTATTAGCATTAATATCACTCCAACAAGAATCCACCTAAAAAAATGGTTATTAGTTAATAGCATTGTCCTTTAAAGTTTCAAGACTTGACAAGATTTTTAAAAACTAAAAGTAGTCATCTACATTCTTCCACTGTCACCAAGTTACACACATACACACGATATGTGGATCAAAAAGAAAAAAAAAACGATTGAAAAAAATGATTGAAAGCAAACCAAGCAACCAAACAATCTTCTTTATGTTGTGTTTCCATTACATTCCACAAATTAGCTATGCAGGTTGCAACCACAATCCCAGAAGGATCTATCGGTTCCTTTTGGCACCTGTAATGTTGACTCTAGCAAATTGACCAAAATAATCTTCTTGTTAGAACCAATTGATCATAAAACTATAGGCTCAATAGATTAAAGCATCAAATCATGGATCATAGAAACAAACTTGACTGTTATATGCCTATAGAGCAAATCCAACAATCCAAGACCATACTTTTTTATCAACAGCAAATTGCAAACCTTTCCCTTGAAATGATGTTAATATGGTGCTAATTACTTCCTGGTTTGAACATGATCTTTATTTAAAACCAAGACCATACTTTTTTTAGCTAGTTCTATTGTACAATGTTGCAATCTATTTGCTTACTGTATGATCACAACCTGAATACGAAACATAAACATCACTGGTTCAAGTTCATCAAACACATTGCCTAAAGGAAAAAGCAATCGATAAACACTTAAAGAAACTACACTCGAAACTAGCATATATGAAATAATAGTATAATTACCTATGTACCCTTTGTAATGATTAACATGTATCAAGATATATAGCTATAGAGATGATCACACAACGAAAAAAGAAATCATAAACCCATGAAACAACTTCATCAACAAGAAAAACCCATCAAATAATTGATTCAAATTAGCATAATTAAAAACAAAATATATTGAACTTTTTGTTTTCACCTAAACCCAACAAAACATTGATGGTGTAGTTCAGCAATGGAACAATTAGTATTGAATTAGCATAATCCGATCGGTATTCCAGTTCAAAAACCATCGAGAGCCTCGCGACAAATCAACAACTCTATGATGGGGAAACTTTAGTTTTTCCAGATCAGTTATTTGAATTAGGTTTCTGCCCTTCAAATGCATGTAGAGATGTAAATTTTTTCGGAATTTGATATTGAAAATATCGATGATAAGGGAAGAAGCAAGTGAATGGAGATGACTGTGAGGGGACAAAAGATGTGCGAGGGGGATGGGTAGAAGTGACAAGGGCATAGTGGAAACACGATGTAACACCCAAAGTCTGGAAGGCCAAGAAAGGAAAGAAAACCCTAATTTTAAGGGGCGACTCGGCGAGTCCGAGCGGGATCCGGGTCGAGGAGTAAGTAACCGACTCGGCGAGTCGGCCAAGGGGACTCGGCGAGTCTGGTCCGTGTGAGGAAAACCCTAAATTCGGGACTTGGAGCCTATTTAAGCACCTCATTCTCTTCCCTAGGGTTCCTTTACTGCCTCTCTAACCCAGAACACCAAACCCTAGCCGCCCTATCCATTGTTTGAGCCAATTGTTGCCTTGAAGAGTGCATTAAAGCTTGGAGAAGGAAGAAGGATCTTGGAGGTGCAAGAAGGGGCTATAGATCTGGGATTGGGAAGATATTTCTGAGCATCTGGAGGTAATAAACTAGTTCTTGGACTCTTTTACACCTAGATCTATGTGTGGGTGTTGGGGATTTTTAGCCATAATGGTATCCATTTGAGTTAGAAGCCAGATCTGAAGTTGCTACTTCGGATCTAAGCATATTATGGTCTTGAGAAGCATAAAGTATCTGCCCTTGAGTTGATTATGGAGCCTCTTTGCCTTAAACCCTATTTTATGGTGTATTTTGCCTAGATCTCCTTCTCTACACGTAAAGTTTGAAACTTTACGTGAGGAATAGGCTTGGGAAGGGTAGATCTACAGTTTGGAGTCCATGCATGACTCAAAAGTCCTCTGCATGTAAGGAGATCTGAATGGACTCGGCGAGTAGCATGGAGATTAGGAGCAACTCGACGAGTGGGATGAACAGCTCGTCGAGTCAGATGAAGATTGCCTTGTACTCGGCGAGTCTGCTCTTGGAATCGGCGAGTCAGGTCGCGAAACCCCAAACCCTTCGAATTGAGACTCGAATCAGTGAGTCGAGTGGAGACTCGGTGAGTTGGATAGGTCAGGACTCGGAAATCGGTAGACTCGGCGAGTCATGGACTGACTCGGCGAGTCGAGACGCGAAAGGAAGGACTCAGAACATATGAACTCGGTGAGTTAGTAGGGTGACTCGACGAGTAGGGTTGACTTTGACCAGGACTTTGACTTTGACCAGAGTTGACTTGGTTGTCTCTCGGGGGTCAGCTAGACTCAGTGTTGCTTTGATATTGGTAGTTCGGGGAGCAGGAGTTCAGAGAGTTACCGGACAGCAACTAGTGAGATCATCAGCAAGTTCAGTCAGTGCAGGTGAGTTTCCCTTTGTGTGAATGGGTCTAAGGCCACAATGCCGGCCCATGTAGTTATGAGTAGAAGGCCCGGTGGTTAGCCCTAGGCACCGTATGCTAGTATGATATTTAGGACGAGTTCCATTAATAGCGGGCGGGTGCCCAAGGATTTGTTTATATGATAGTTTATACTTGTTGTTTGTGTGATGCATGTATGTGCCTGGTAGGGAGGTGAGTGTGGGCGAGGTCCCGTATCTCACCAATAGCAGAGTGTGGATGGTGTTCCACATCTCATTAGTAGCAGAACAGGGGCGAGGCCCAAGTTAGGGAAGGAGTGAGAGTGGGCTAGGCCCGTATCTCACTACCAGTAGGAGCGTGGACGGGGTTCCATGACTCATCAGTAGCAGGACAAGGGCGAGGCCCAAGATAGGCGAGGCCTTAGGACAGGATCAGTCGTATGAGTTTAGCTTATGTGTTATGATATGTTTATGTGTTATTATTTGTTGGCGGACGAGGCCCTGTGACAGGCGAGGCCTAAGTGAAACAGATTTGTATTCGAGCGGGGCTCGAAGTCAGGCGGGGCCTGGAGCGGCGGCGCAGTTATAGCGGGCGAGGCCCGAGGCAGGGGGCGAGACCCAGGATAGCGGGCGTGGCCCAGTATGTGCAATATGTGGTTATGCATGGTATGTGGTAGGGTGGGGAACTTACTAAGCTTCGTGCTTACGGTTTTCAGTTTTGGTTTCAAGTACTTCCGGTAGCGGAGGGAAGAGCTCGGGGTGATCGCATGGCACACACCATTGATTAGACAGCCTGAGAATGTTTTACTCTGATAACGAACGTGTGTTTTTGAAATTAATACTCTGTTTATGTTTTGGGATTGATGATTTTGCTTTGAGTAATGTTTTATTAAAAGAAATTTTGGTCTTGAATTTTGGATCGTTACACACGACCTCTATTTATCAGGGACTTGAGCTAGTAGATACAGACCAGATCAGATCAAATCAACATATATCAAACAAATAGACTGGATCGGGTAAGATATTTTTGTCTGACCGGACCGATCATACCATAATCAAAGAGGCCCTAAATAAGATTAAGATGGATGGTCTTTTTTTCTTAAAAAAGTTCATTATCAAATTATGACATTAACTCAAAACGTGCCCCGCTAAATTTGAATTTTCTGAACATTTTATTACTTCTCATATCATTTTTTTAACTCATTTTTTTAAAACATTTTAAATGTTTCTTTACTCAATTTTAAAATTAACCATTTTATAAAACAAATCAATCAAATGTAACCTCATCTTCACATCTTTTCCTCCCTTAATTTGTTTTTAAGAGAATAGTCTTTTCTTTTCTTCCTTTCTCTCTAAATCAATAACTGTAGAACGGTGTTCGTTGCCCGAAAGTACATGAACCTTGAGCGTTGAGAGCCAAAAGGGAAGTGTAGAAGTACAATTGGCGGGGTTTCTCTTCTGTTGGTTGTTTAGCTGCACTAAGCTGACAACAATGGCGGAGTTAATAGTTATACGTAACCAGCTTTTCGCCAAACCCTTATCTTTTTCACCATCATGTAAACTAATGCCTATGATACTCAATCGCCAACCCTTCAAATTCAGTTATAATCCTCAATCTCTTTCTCAAAGTTTTGGCAGATTCAACCGCCCCCTTCTCATTCATCCGATTCCTCGATCTCGTCCGTTGTGCAAGATGCAAGACTCCGGTAATTCTTTGTTGCGTAAAAATGTTCTGCTTAGGTTTACATATATCTGATTGATGCTTATAGCTTAAATTCAGCTGTTTAATTGTTTAGTTATAGAGTGAGATGATGAACACCCAATCCCCAAGAATTGAGGCGAAGTATTCTGGTTGATTAGCTTTGTTTATTGAGGAGTTTTATCAAACACCTTGTCTGCACCTATAGTTAATAGATTCATTGTCCACCTAAACTTAAATGTAGGTAGCAATATATCTCCACTGAGATCGAAATCCATACCAATTTTGAAGTAACAAATCATAAAATTGACGCCTATAGTTAAGCTGTAGCACTTTTGTGGAATGAAACAAGACTTATTAAACTGATGCATTACAACTTTAGATATGATATCGCAGCTGGAGGTTGGAAAATATAGCGACAAGAGGAAGCCAGAGAAGCGAGTGAATGGGATATTCTGGATTTTACTACTTAATATTGGAATCTATGTAGCAGATCACATATTTCAGGTTCAAACTGAATCAACTTATTATAATGTTGTCTCATACATATACTTGGCATCTAAACTATAGAGGATTAACTCAAAAAAACTTATATTTTGAACCAGGTTCGTGAGATTAAAGCTTTGTATTTATACCACAATTTTCCTGTTTGGTACCAGTTTGTGACTGCAACTTTCTGTCATGCTGATTGGTAAGGCCTAAACCTAAACTATTGATGTGGTTTAAGTTTAATCCAAGAAGTTTACTTAAATTTAATATGTTATACTACAGGAATCATCTGTCTAGCAACCTTTTCTTTTTATATATATTTGGTAAGGGAAAGATTTCTTTAGTGTTTCCTTATTGTATATTTTAAGGTTTTATAGCTTGAATCTTTTTGTCAAATAGGAAAGCTTGTTGAAGAAGAAGAAGGAAATTTTGGAGTGTGGCTTTCTTATATCTTAACGGGTGCTGGAGCAAATCTTGTTTCTTGGCTTATACTTCCAAGAAATGCGGTTTCTGTTGGTGCCTCTGGTGCAGTGTTTGGTCTTTTTGCAATTAGTGTTCTTGTTAAGGTACATGTTTTTTTTTTTTCTTTAAAACCAGGCACTTTATTAAAACTAATAATTAAATATTTTTACTTATTGCAGCTCTCGTTTGACTGGAGGAAGATTCTTGAAGTACTTATCCTTGGTCAATTTGTTATTGAAAGGGTATGTATATGTTTAAAAATCTTTAAGAAAGTGAAAGTACTTTTTGGGAAACGGAAAGAAAAAGTAAATTGGGCAAATTTCTAAAAGGTTAGGACTCAGGTTGTGTTTGGCGTACTAGCTGAAAAACTAGCTTTAGCCTGATAAGCTAGCTGATAAAGTAATAACATTTGGTAAAAAGTAGATGGAAAATGTAGAATGACATAAAAAGACATTTGACAGGTGATGGAAGCAGCTCAAGCTTCAACAAGTTTTGCAAGCAGTAATAGTGGTATGCAGAATGTAAATCATATTGCTCATCTTTCTGGTGCTCTTGTGGGTGCGACTTTGGTGTGGCTTCTCAGCAGAGTTCCTTCTCAATCTGTGGAGCATCATAATAAAAAATGATTATGCCATTCATAATAAATTAATACCCATTCCATTTCAACCATTTCTGCTGTTTTTGTTAATCGTTTGTGTTACATATTAAACCAATCACTTGCTGCTGTTTCAATGCATAGCACATCCCATATTTTGGGTTATGGTTACACCAGCCAACAGACTGACTTTATCAATTATCATCCATCTGTATCTTAAAAAATTGGCAAAAAAAAGGTTATCTTAAAAAAGGTCTGTTGATAGGTGACTCTTGAGTTGTTCATGCTACCATCAGGCATCCGTGGTGGATCTGGATCCGGATCCAGACCAAAAATCAATGGGGATCCATTATTATATAATTAACAGCAAGGATTAGAGTGGATTGCATTAGAGAGAAATCCTTTTACAGATCTATAATGTTAGCGTGTAATTTTAGTATCTGATATTTATTTTTTTATGTAGGTGATTTTTGATTTGATTTCGATCATGAACACTTATGGAGTTAAATTTATTTAGGATTTTCAGTTGAAGTTTAAAGAAATTTCTTGGTTCGAATATCACATATTTCAACTTTAAAGTGCCATGCATAGTACTAAGAAAATTAGTATATGATTACTCAAACATCAAACCTGATTTGTGTAGGCTATAAGAAATAGTCTACTGATTTCTTTCTCAAAAAGTATGACACGTAAGCTTCACAACAACCTCGGTATATATTTACTAACCTTGGGAAATATTCACCCTCTACATCATCTATATACACTTTTTCTATTTTAAATACACAATTTTAATAAAAACACAACCTTTTTCTAAAAAAAATTATTTTCATTCAAACAAATAAAAATTAAATTACTAAAACTGAAAATAAAAAATTACATTAAAAACCTAGAAAAAAACTAAAAAACATTACAATTAAAATTAAAAATGTAAAAAAAAACATTAAACAATGTATTCGAAAATATATTGAATAAAATCTAAATAATAAAAAATAAAATGTAAGCGAATATATATATATATATATATATATATATATATATATATATATATATATATATATATAATAAAATTATAAAAGTAAGGGTAAAATGTAAGGATGTGTAGTGTAATTTCTTTAAATCATAGGGATGTATATTGTTAAATTTTTAAAGATTTGACTGAAAGTAAAAATCTGACCAAGCCATAGGGACCAAAACCGGAACTTACTCTAATGTGATTGTAATTTCGGGTCGGTTATCGTAAAAGAAAAAGGGAAATGATGGGTTCATGCATATAAATCAAATCACAATCTCACGGCTGCCTAAATTGAATCTCAGCCAACGTAATTAGCAGAGGTTTCAAATTTCTGATTCCAAACCCCGTATAGATTCACACAATCCAAAACAATATCAACATTATCATGGCGAGAAGAAAGGCTCGTTTCCGTCTGTCTGTTTCCTCAACATAATTCGATTATCAATTGAAGAAAACTTGTATCTATCATCGAATATTCTCTTAAACTATTATTCTTATTCATACATTATTGCAATTTCAATTCAATTTACCATATAAACAACCAATCCCACCACCTTCAACAAGAAAGTTTAATGAAATGTTGAAGATTTGGCGATGGTATACAAATTGTTTAGCTGTTCATCCGGTGAAAACACAGGTTATCAGCTCCGGTTTAATTTGGGGACTTGGTGATCTCGCCGCTCAGGCTGTTACACGCGCCACCGCTGTTAAGAAAAAAAACCTCTTCCTTTCCGTAAGTTTCCCCTCATCATTTTTCTCCAATTCTAACAATGCCCTATTTCCCTTCATGTTTCTGCTGTTCTTCGTCTTCTTGTTCCTGTTCTTTGCGATTATTTCTTTTATTTGCGAAGATAATCTTTTGTTTGTTGGATGGTTTTAAATTTCATCTCATCCAATACCTATCTATCTTTGTCACCATTTATCTGTTTTTATTGGATGACTTTTCATTTGATTAACATGTATGATAATATATCCTTTACTCAACAGGATGAAGATAATATACATATCAATTGGAGACGAGTTGTTACCACAAGCATTTTTGGTATGGCATTTGTTGGCCCAATTGGTCACTTCTGGTTAGTTTTTTCTTATTTTGCATCTTTTTCAACCAATTTACCCTTACATTCCACTAAACAAATGTCACAATATTCATCAATTTGAACGCGAGAGAAGTTAACATCTTAACACATTAAGCCAGATTTTTTTTTAGCTTAACCCGGTAAGTCATTCGGTCCAGAATAAGTTAGAAACAAACATAAATGCATAATTATCTAGATTAAGTTTTTAACACATCAAGCCTCGTTATGGAAAGTGGGTATTTGTTGCTGTGTTATACTGTGTTGTGTTTGGGTCGCATTGAACTGATATTATGAGATTTCTTTTGTAGGTACGAAGGCTTAGATCGTTTTCTAAAGTGCAGATTCAGTTACCCACCAAAATCGATGCGATTTGTTGCCATGAAAGTAGCCCTAGATGGGATCATATTCGGTCCGGTTGATTTATTTGTATTTTTTACTTACATGGGTTTTGCATCTGGTAAAAATGTAAATCAAGTGAAAGAAGAAGTGAAACGCGATTTTTTACCAGCCTTAATTGTAGAAGGCGGGATATGGCCCATTGTTCAAGTGGGCAATTTCCGGTTTATACCCGTGAGATATCAACTTTTATATGTCAATCTTTTCTGCTTGTTGGATAGCTGTTTCCTTTCATGGCTTGAACAACAACAAGATGCTGCTTGGAAACAATGGTTCAAGACTTTTTCTTTTAAAGAACAAAAAAGTCGAGATGGATGAAAGTTTTTTTCCTTTCCCGAGTTGACTCACTACTGATTCTTATCCCACCTTCGTGACTCGGTAGTCTTGACTGATTTTGTATGTTAAGGCTTGTGTTTGAAGACATGATAAGGATGTTATTTTCTGATTTTTTTTGTATGATTGATTGTATATATATAGTTCATTCTTCTAATATCTTTCTCATTTTTCTTGAATTTAAGAAATGTCAATGTTCATAGTTCATACAAACTATGTGGTAGAAAGTAAAAGATTATGAACCTCAAAGATATAACAACATACATTTGGCTTCAATGTGAATAGCTTCTACATATCATAGCAATGTACTATTTCCTTCATCAACAAACATTATCCAAATCTTTAATCAAAAAATTAACTTTTTCATATAATCCACCTCTACGATAACCAGCAACCAATAACTCAGAAGTGGATCTTGCAAGTTTATGTGAATCCTTTATAAACTCCAAAAACACCTCTAATCTATCATAAGCATCCCCACGAAAATAACAACACACCACCATTTCCACATCTTTATGTGACCTAAAAGACACTCCTTCTTTCAACATCCTCCCAATACAATACTCCAAATCATCCAATCTATCCAATTTAGCATAAACCCTAATCAAACCGTTGTGAAATTGAGAAACAACATCAAAATCGAGATTCGTATTCCTAATTTTCTCTAGCACCCACTCCAATTCTTTCACTAATTCTAACTCACAATAAAACCCCACAAGCTTATCAGCCATACACATGTTAATCTCCCATTTATGATCCAATATACTCTGCATAAACCCTCTGATTTTAACCAAATCTTTTTGTTCACATAACCCAACAAGCATATTATGTAGTATTGATGTGTTAGGCTTGAATTCTGCTACTAACATGTCTCTGTAAAATCTATCAGCATCTTCGAATCTTTTTAACTTTATGCAACCTAAAATGATAGCCTCATAAGTATCTAAATCAGCTGAAAACCCAGAGGCCATTTTGGCTTCATACCATGCCACCATAGCCTTACTGTTTCCCATGTTTGCAAATCCCGAAATGAACAAATTGTATGTGTGAGAAGTAGGTTGTTTATAGTCCTCTGAGTTTTGCATTAGCTGAAATATGCTAAGTGCAGTGATGACATTACCTGAAGATAAGTGAGCAGAAATTAGGGCGTTGAGAATGATGGAAGTTGGCTTTAGACCTTGATTCTCCATTAAAGTGAAAACACGCATTGCTGTTTGTGTGTTTTGGATCTTCCCACAGAGATGGATTAATTCCAAGTAAATATCATGGTTTTTCTCGTTTTCTTTTTGCAACTTCTGTAATCCCCATTCAAGAACCTGCCTAAGTAAATAATAGGTTTTGGATTAGCAACAAGTAGTTTGATTTTAACTTTCACAATCTGAAGCATACTTAACTTCTAATTAATTACAACTTCAGACAATATAACGAGACGATTAGGGTTAGGAAAAGAATTCTTACGAGCTGAGCTTTGTGAGGGGAGGAAGAATGAATAGAGGTCAGGAGCGAATCCCATGAAAGGTCGAGGTTTTCGATGCCTGATATTCCCACCATTTCTGAATCAAGGTTTGTCTTGATTCGAGAAACTGGCTGCTGAATCAATACATTGGATGCAATTGTTCGTGAGGATTGATACAGGATCGTCTGGTACAGCCGTTTGGCAGATGATAAACCAGTCACTCGCACTCCCACCATTTGTGAAGCTTTTTTGCGGCTTTTGGTTGATGTGATGGACCTATTTGCAAACCTTTCCAGTGATATAAATTCTATAATTCCTATTAGCAAGGCACTTTATTTTAGATATTTAAAATATTATTTTTCAGAAAGTGATGGTACATATAGCTAGTTTTCTTAGATACTTCTTTTTTTTTTTTTCAAGAAAAAATAGCAAAATATAAGCCCTTTTCAACCATATAGACACACGTTTTATAATAGGTCCATCGTGATATATGGCCATTGTGTAATGGGGTTTTGGTTGAAACATGGTATCGTTTTCTCAATTATCACCTCAGTGGGAAATAGATGGACTATTGCGAGGCCATACTATGACATTGCGAAAACCTTATCGTTAATTGTCGTACTCTCGAAAGGCCCATAATATGAAATGGTTGTGGACTTGTGGTACAGCCAAATGGGCCCATTGCAAAAACTTATGTGAAATATCATAAATTTTCTTTATTTAGTGTTTAGTTTTAATCCAATAGCCAAACATACTTCAAACAACTTTTTTTCAATAAAAAAAATATGTTCATCTGATATTTTTTTCGTAGTTCTTTGTTTTGGAAGGTACGGCGAAACTCAATATATCATGCCAAAGGTTTGGAACTACAATTTATATCAGCCCTCGTATATGATACATTTATGGGTTCTTAAATGTGTCAATGAAGATAAATTTTAAAGATAGCTTTAAGGTAAGTTTATCATTCTAACATCCCGAGTTACATTATGAATTTATGATATATAGATAAATGACAAGAGTGATGTCAAGCATTTGTAAATCGTTCTTTGTGATGATACTTCATAATTGTGTACATATGTATTGTGTATATTGTCCACATATACGTAGATCTACTACAATGAATTCTTCTGATGTTGAAGAAAACTAATCTATTAGGAGAGGGTCCTGTGGAAACTAATTTAGTAGAAGAAAGTCCGGTGGAAATCTATCACATGCAGAAAGCAACAATCAATGAGTTTTTTAATATCTT